GGAGATGCTCCAGCTATTGTAGCAAAGATTGCACACCAGAATAATGTGATGTTAAAAGCATATTTGCGACCAATAACCTGAAATTTGTAAAAGTCAAATACGTTCAAAATAAAATGGAGTATTTCAAGTAACATTCAAGCGATATGTGACAACTTTGGGAAAAGATGAAAATTTTAGTAGTATATGTGAACGTTTCTTATTAGACCCTGGACAGTTCCATATCAGTTCCGTTTTTGAGAACTGTTCAAACAGTTCTTTGATAGGAACTGATCTGTCCAACCAGTTCTTTTAAAAAAACTGATCTGTGCTTACCAGTTCTTTGATAGGAACTGGTCCGTCCAACCAGTTCTTTGATAGGAACTGATCTGTCCAACCAGTTCTTTGAAAGGAACTGATCTGCTCAACCAGTTCTTTGATAGGAACTGATCTGTGCCTACCAGTTCTTTGAAAGGAACTGATCTGTTCAACCAGTTCTTTGATAGGAACTGATCTGTACCTACCAGTTCTTTAATAGGAACTGATCTGTCTAGCCAGTTCTTTGATAGGAACTGATCTGTGCCTACCAGTTCTTTGAAAGGAACTGATCTGTCCAACCAGTTCTTTGATAGGAACTGATCTGTTCAACCAGTTCTTTGATAGAAACTGATCTGTAACTAGGGGTGGGAAGTTACCGTTCCCACACCGTTCCTGGGAACGGTAGCGATAACGAAAAAGTTCCCAGTCACCGGGAACGGTAACGCCCCGTTCGCAGTTACTCGAGAACGCAGGTAACGGTCAGGGGACTACCTAGCATCATCAATCTCATAGCCTTGGTCCTCACGAACAACGATTGGGGGTACCCTTGTGTCGAAAAGCCCCACTATTGGAGATACCGTTGGGTCCTCAAATGCTAGTATTAGCAAATACCTTTGGCTCATCAAGTGCTCGTATAGCTGGGTACACTCAGCCCAACCAGTGCAACTATTACGTGGTACTGTGCGTTCAACCAATGCAAAATTTGCACAAAACCGTTGTGCCGTCAGGACTAATTGCCAGGAATCGGATATCCTTGGCCCAGCCACCACAAAAAGTGGCGCGGTAATGTGGGCCCAACCTATGCAAATTTTGCGCCGACCTTCATGCCATCAGGTTCAATTGCCAGGAAGGAGGGTAGCCTTGGTCCAACCACTGCCAGAGTAATGCGGCAGTCTTTGCCCAAACAGTGCAAGTGTCGCGTGGTACCCTTGCCCCAACAATTACTGGTGTTGCTAGTATCCTTGGCCCCTGAAGTCTTACTATTGGGGGGCACCCTGACGTCCTGAAGTCAAAGTATTGGGAGGTACTTTTCGGTCCTCCAGGAGGACCCGAGTATACCTGTAATGCTAGCACTTGGTGGACCAAGGGTAACCCCGAAACGTAACGGTAACTTCCCACCCCTAGGTGTGAATGCTGAGAGAAGACTTATACGCACACACACCAACACCTAACCCAATCCACACAAAACCCACACCCAGTTCTCGAAAGAGAACTGGTCACTTTACCCAGTTCTTGAAAAAGAACTGGTCGCTTGGCCCAGTTCTTGAAAAAGAACTGGTCACTTTACCCAGTTCTTGGAAAAGAACTGATCACTTTTACCCAGTTCTTCAAAAAGAACTGGTCACAATAAGCAGTTCTCGAAAAAGAACTCATCACTTTATCCAGTTCTCGAAAAAGAACTGATCACTTTATCCAGTTCTTGAAAAAAGAACTGGTCACAATAAGCAGTTCTCGAAAAAGAACTGGTCACGGTAGTCAGTTCTTGAAAAAGAACCGGACGCTTAATCCAGTTCTTCGAAAAAGAACTGGTTGCAATAACCAGTTCTCGAAAAAGAACTGTCGGGTGTGTACAGTTCTTAGAAAAGAACTGCCGGGTGCGCACAGTTCTCGTCAAAGAGCTGGTCACTTTAACCAGTTCTGGAAAAAGAACTGGTCACTATACCCAGTTCT